CCCCTTCACCCTCTATCAATGCCTGCAGTCTTTCCTCTATAATCTGCATTGCCAGCCTGTAGACCACTGATGTCACTGTTATAGGACGGTGGTTATTTATGCCAGCTGTGTCCCCCTTTTCTTTGTAGATTATGCTCATCCTGCTAAGTTTCCATCCATCGGGGACTCCACCATCGAGTATTGTTTTGCTCACTGCCTCTCTCAAAGTCTGTTTAGACTTCGGACCCAATGTCTTTATCGGCATAATTGGAATGCCATCTGGACCTGTTGATGTACTACTAGGAACCCTCTTCTCAGCCCTTTCCCACTCTAGTTATGAAAATGGAGCCATTGCGCCACTTGATTCATCCATGTCTATTGTGGTGCATAAAGCACTTCTCTGTTGAAAATTTTCTGTCACCCTTGTTCTTATATATTCAATAGCTTCGTCCCCTTCTAGCCTAGCACCTTGAGCTGTAGTTATAAACCTCTGCTATAGGCTCGTTTCATTTCTTAGGTAGTTTAGATGGTTCCAAAATTTTGCAGCTGCCTTTCTATCTTTTTTATGTACTTCTGCCAGCCGCTGAGCTCCCTTTCTTCTAATATTTTCATTGATCAGAAGGGATGCATCCCTTCTACAGCTTAGAAAGATTTCCCATTTTCTTTCAACATCATCTGTCGGTTCACCCCGCTGCTTAGCATGTCTGTGTTCCCTAGAGGCTTCCTGACGTTTTGCTATGGCTTTCTTAACTTCCTCATCCCACCAACTTTTGGGTTTGTGTCTTCTTTTCCGGGGTGACTTGTCACGCGTCTTAGCAAGCTCTAGCTCAAAGAGTCTAATTAGATTCGTGTATGTCCACACTGTCTTATTATCCTCCGTGATTACTTCCTCAATTTGTTTAGTAGCTATTTCTATTTCAATTTCTGAATAAAGTTTTTTGCAATGCAAGCATCAAGAAACGCGCTGCCTTTGGGTGGCCACTAAAACCAACGGGCAACAGACGCTTTACAAAAGCAACAGTGCGCATTGCTGTGGTTGCGGGTACCCTGCCACTCGATAGCCGTAAAATGGCGAAAATATGCTTGTGGCACTTTGTTTTTAGAGTTATTTTGAAATGTACGATCTTTTTTTGCTGTAACACGGGCCTTACGCTAACAACTTCATTTTAACGTCGTTACCAGGCGAGCAATGTGTTTCTGCTTTAATGTTCGTTCTTGACTTTGAAGCTCGTTCTTAATCAAGCAAAACAGCCTGAGCATCTATGAAACGCGAAAGCTGACTTGGGCGTTTTGAAGTCCGCTGCTTGCTTCACGCCGACTTACTCAAGTCAAGTCGAAGGCGCGAGCCGAGTAACATCTCTACATTTGGGGGTAGTACCTACAGTTTCGCCTACTCGTCGTCATGTACTTCGTGGAGATGCACTAAGTTTTCTTAACGCTCTCGAATCAAAATGGGCAATGTCTGTTTGCGCCGTTCCTTGGTTGATATAAACTGTCAGTCACATTCAATGCATTGCACTTAAGTATGTTCCATCCTAAACGGACGCGTTGGCTGTATCGTAGGAGTACAAATGTAATGTTTACAAAATTGGTTACACATCACTGCATCTCCAATCGACGCTTCATGAAAATTACGGTTTATTTCAAATGCTGTTGCGAGACGTGGCGTGGCTCCGTGGTAGAATAATTTATTGCCATGCAAATGCTGAAGTTCAATTTATGCTGGTACCTTGACGTTTTTTGTTGGCATTCGTTGGGTCAATGTCACCGATATCAGCTTTTTACTAATGCTTACTTCTAAAATGACTTCGCTGCTTACTTTAAACTATTCGCCGTCCCTAGGTTGATATAAACTATCAATCACCTGTGGCACATACCCGCATAACAGTGGCACATACCCGCCCAGGGTATGTGCCACTGTCTGGCTGAACTTCTTTGATGACTTACGCGATGGGATTATGGTATTAATCATATCATGACCAGTGAGTCGCATGCATCAAACTATCTTGCGCTCCCATACTATTTTTTTACCCCAAACTAAGAGGGTGATCACGAGAGCACCGAGACGTAGGCGGCTAGACAGATACCTAGATAGCTGCCAAAAGTGCTTTACGCAAATGAATGCTTCGAATTTGATCTGTTGCCTGCTCGATTTTAAGTGGACGATTTATGATTAGTAGAATTTATTCAATTTCGGTAGCACATAACCGTCTACGATGATTATAGCTTTCTGGATCGACTTACAACAAACGATTTGATTAACAGCTTCGCTTCGCTGTTAAAAAAATCGCAATCGTAGCAAAAACGTAATGACAAAAACTATCCAAGATCGACTGGGACATGGGTGCACGTTAAAGAACCCCAGGTGGTCGAAATTTCCGGAGCCCTCCACTACGGCGTCTCTCATAATCAAGTGGTGGTTTTGGGACGTTAAACCCCACATATCAATCAATCGACTGGGACATGAATCCCAATCCCCATGCGTGGTAGTTCAATATCGCACCACATAGCCACTTAGGTGTTTGAAACTAATCGCGAAAAGACCGTACACAGGTGTCACGTCCGGCGGATAATCGCGTTAACGTATGTAATGTTGCGGTTAAGTGGGCCACAATAATAATAAAAAAAGCAGGTCTCGAAATATGTGAATTGAATACCGAGTGGGTCGTTTAATGCTTCCAGCTTATTTCAAAGAATTAAGCCATAATTCATCATCATTGACTGCATCTTGAACGAAGTGCACGTGATGTCTTACGTAGAGTCGTCAGCAAGCTTAACTAGAACGCTCTATAGCTTGTCCTGAAATGGTTTAATTGACGCGCAGAGGCAGTTAGCTTTGGGTTCTGTTGGTTAAATGCTACCCATGGATGCGGACATATACTATCCAAGCAGACCGAGGTGTTACCTCGGCCACAGTGGCCATCGCATCACGACTGCCATCAGTTAGAAACAAAATTTATTGAATTATTGCAATTGAATTTTCATACGTCGTTCGCAAGTTGCTGTAGTGACAACGTGAGCTTTCTTCATTTTTAGTGCACCGGTGGCAAGTAGTGGAATTGACCCAATTTTTATCACGCATACCAGTTTATGACAGACCAGGACGACGACATGACGGGCGGGCAAGCTGAGACCCTAAAGGGAATTCGCCCCTAAAACTGATGATTCATATGTGGGGTTTAACGTCCCGAAACCATCATATGATTATGAGAGATGCCGTAGTGGAGGGCTCCGGAAATTTCGACCACCTGGTGGTTATTTAACGTGCACCTAATTCTGAGCACACGGGCCTACACCATTTTCACCTCTATCGAAAATGCAGCCGCCGGCGCCGCCGCCGGGATTTGATCCCGCGACCTGCGGGTCAGCAGCCGAGTACCTTAGCCACTAGACCACCTCGGCGGGGCTCGCCCCTAAAAGTGGAATCCTCAGGCAACACGTGGTTCCGACGGCAAAGAAAGCTGTAGAAAGTCTGGGAAATACGGAGCTCGTAAATGAGCGAACTTGTGCCTGGAAAAATGAAACGTAAGAATATAGTTGTGGTCAAAATTTTGAAGACCGTTGGAGCGCGTGCCAAAGAGTGCCGCAGTGCTTTCTAACGGCTTCTCATTAGGGTGACGAGCGCGCACGGCGCAAGCGCTTGCTTGTTTACCTGTCGGCCTGCTTGTTCGCTCGCTTCAACTGCGTGCTCACTGGAATGTCATATAAAGTGGAAGGTGCCACTTCTGCAATTACTGTAGAAGCAACGAGTGATTTGCCCGAGTAAAAATAAATTGCGCGTGTTGCACGAAGTTACAAGGTGCGCGCCGTTCAAGCGAGTGAACGAGCAGGCAGGCAAGTAAACAAGGACGCGCGTGCGCAGTGCGCGAGCTTCACAAGCAGCCATCGGAAGGCGTCACAATACTCCTTGCCACGCACTGCAGAGGTCTGCGACTGTACAAGCCATTTATGTTGGACGCCGATATCGGCGAGTATACTGCCATCAGCCATCGAGTAGTTTCAGAACCTGTGGAACGCGTCGCCACTTGTACACCAGGGATGGAAACTACCAGTGTTTTCACTGGTGCTCGCGTAAGCTCTCGAATAACCTTGACTATTCCTGTCCTGCACGCAGTCGTAACAGAATCATCTCTAACAGTCGCGGAGACTCCCTAATGTTTCAGTGGGGTCTTCGCCGAGCATTTCTGGCAGTTTTTCTAGGTGACACCCGAGTAAATCACTGTAAAGCAAGAAACGCGTGTAGCAATAATAATTGCCTTAAGAGATTTCTTAACAGGCCCTAGAAAGGAAAATATTCCAGCTTTCTTTGTGACTGTACCGCGTGTTAAGCGTAGGCCCGAATTTTTTGTCCAAACGTAGTGATAAATGAGTTTTTATGGTAGTCGCGTATTATTCAGAAGATCGGGGGCATGATCCCTGGCCGTATCGGCCTCATGTTGACAGGGGTGTGATGTTTTTTTATCCGGATGCACGCTAAAAACGAACATCTTTATAACTTTCCACCTACCGCAACCAACCACCACATCATTCAGAGCATCTGCTTTGATTTGGGAACGCCGTAATTGATAAATCACTCAATGATTATTCGGAGTAATCAATTTTATTATCGGCTGTAAATTGAACTTCTTGAAAGCGGCATTGCTATAGTCATGACGAACCTTCAAAACCATTATATTTTCAAATAATTTTATACCTCACATATGGTGGCCAGGTCAAAAATAGGTAAATAACAGGAGCTTCGTGCTTTAGAAGGTGATATTTCAAGAGACCTTGATCGTAAAGTTCAGGAAAGTACAGTTTCTTTTTGGAACTGCATGCACAGTTGAAAATATTATTTTCACCATCATGACATTCCTTAAAAGCTGTTTAATGAAAGAAAGTGTTATTTATTATAAGAAATTGAAATACGCACGTAGAGGACAGTGTAGAGGAATCGCAGCAGAGAGAATTGGCAATAATGGGAATGATTGCATTTGATGGGTCGCTTCATACATACTTTACACAGTCTGCTGCTTCATTACCTCATCGCCTCAACGTGTATTGCTGTCGCGCTCCGATTATAATTCGCTCAGCTATTGGTACCAAACTCATTCAACCACACCAACCAAAAACGTTTTTCAGAGACATTGCCTGTAGATCAAAACGACACGCTCCTATGTCCCTTCTCTATTACTCGCTGGTCCAATCTGGTACCACACAAAGGCGTAAGTGAGCATGCAACTGAATACTGAGAACGCTGCCTTCAACGTGAGCTTGTAGAAACCCGCGATGGTAAACGCCAGAGATATCTCTTTGACGTCTTCCTTGAGCATCGAAAATTCTCCGGTAGGCTCAGCGGCGTGGTCGACGGGTGGAAGCCGAAGGCTGGCCTCTTGCAAAACCACCCACGTTTTGCGACCTTCAACGTACACAAAGTTCGCAGCCAGGGAGACGCCCCAGAATGTGAGCCAGCTGTGGGTGCAGCTGAGGATCTTGTAGTAGCACTGCACCCACGATTCGGCCTGTCTCGTGAAGGTGCTCAACTCGGCGCAGAATCCCAGGAATGTCATGCCATACCAGAAGAAAAGGCAAGGCGCATACAGTGTTCGGCATTCGAGAAAGGTCTTTCGAATCTGGTCCCTGCGTATCTGCCGGTGCGTAGTTGCTGACAAAGGGGTGGTACCGGTGAGGATGTGACCGAGTCGGCAGGCCGAGAGAATAGTCTGGGCAGGGAATCGTTGTGCGCTGACAGCAACTCGCGGATCGTGTGGCTGACCGTAACGAAGAGGGAGGGTAGGAAGCAAAGCTGATACCATATTGCCACTACAAACAGCAGATCTTCCGAGTACTTGAGGCAGCGTTCGAGGAGTGGCGCCGTGGTTCTGCTGTCAGTGAAGAAGGTTATGTACGTGGGTGGCGTTAAGAAGCTCAGTACGATCGTCAAGGAGACGCCAGTTAATAGTCGGCATAGCTTGCGAATCCTCGCTACGCGTCTCTGAGGCAGTATATTGTGGGCATCTTCGTTCAGGGCCTCGACGACTTGCCGGAATCTGTCGTTGTTCAAAGCCGTGACGAAGCAGGTTGCGCTCGAGGCAACGATTCGAGTACCGTAGAGAACAAAATCAAGGGTCTCGTAGTTGACGGCGCACTTCAACAGGTACACGTGCGCTGCGATCAACGATGTCATCATCAAAACGTTGAAGCATAACTTCAGGCGCGTCTTATTGTCCCAAAGAAACCCGCTGATATTTAAAGCCACTCGTATTTCTCTGAATACGTCCTCTCGGTGAGCCGATTTCGTCGACGCGGGCTTGACCTGAATACGTTTCTTCATGTCGGGTAAGAGTCCTTCGACGTCTGAGCTTTCGCGGAGCAAAGCGCGCCGTGGTAGAAGTGGTGTGACAATATTCAGATGCCGCAAGGTCATGGTCTTGATGACGCGTGGTCATTCCCGCCGTGTTTGCAGTGGAAGCGCGTCATTACCGACTGTTTGTACGTACATCGCCATGGAAACGCATATGGAGAGTTAGTGTCAATTTGCCCGCGGGATCTGGGAGTAGCGGTGGAATCCACCGACAAAGTCAAGTTTCTGTCTAGCGAAAATAAGAGCGCACACGTGTTAGCGCTGGCTCCTAAAGAAATAAATTTTTAAACTAGCGAGCTCGAGGTTTTTCTGGCACCACGTGAATGTTTGACAAACGCAGAGCACAAAAAACATTGCGGTATCATATAAAAATTTGTGCAAAGCCGGGCATGTTCGTGAGGACAGAAAATTCGGTGGTAGAATATCGCTATTTTGAGCATCAATAATACCCGCTAGAAGAAAAAAAAATAGCTAGAAGTGGTCCTTTGTCGCTGACTGAACCTAAATGGGCTTTTTATTACGTTAACGCTTTCACATAGGGTTTGCATGTACAGCGTCTGGCTCTCAACGATCTGCTGCAGCATCATAAGGTTGTATTGAACAACCTTATAAAAGTTATGTGTACGGTTCAGTGAAATTCAGTGTAACCTCAGTGAAGTGTGCTGCACGACGTCACTTGTCATTCAGATTGAGAAAGTGAAACGGTCCCGCGTTAAAGCGAGTCAAACACAGGAACCATCCTTCCCAGCTTTGCCGGTCAATAATATTCATTTCTTTCCCTAAATAACTTCTCACTTGATGTTTCTGCGCTTACAAGAGCGTCAAAAATGTAAAGTGACAATGAGACAAGATTTATAGAAGTATGCAGAACTTCTAGGTATTTGTAACTATTACTATTTGTTGCACTGAAACGACAACCTACCAACGACAAGCTTATGAAACTTCAACAGGTAGAGTGTAAAAACATCTGAAAATAACGACTATTCGAAGCGAAATAGTAGTATTCATTACATTTTATTGTTGGTGGCGCTAAACAATTGCGGCTCATTCATGAGAATGTTACTTTTTTGTTACATCATTTGGTGGTCGAAGAGTTCTCAAAGGCGAAAGCCGTGCAGTACTGTTGTTGCACCCTCTCTTGCAGGTTCATTTGCATCACAGCATAAAAAAAAGAAAGGGAAAAAGGTTACCATAGCAATTATATGCGGAAAGTCTAAAACAGCCATGACCAGAAGAATTTTTTTTTCCACAAAATTAGAAGGAGACGTTACAGCGTCGGTAGCGTAGTTTCGAGAGAACTCGTAAGCCATGCCTTATCAATCTTCCTACTGTGAACCTAACGAGAGGATGAAAGAGGCACTCTTCATAGTTAATTCTATTAATCTCACTTCATATGACGCCCCGTCCAATAAAACGCGTCTGCACCAGCGTCAAAAAGAAGTGATATTAAAAGTAAAAAAAAATTCTGCAGGTGATTTTCTTACTCTGGTAATATTACTTACGCAGGCAAATGAATAAATTTAGAGCCGCCTCAGTCGGAAAGAACAGAAGGCATCTGCAGAAAAAAACAAAAAAAAGCTTATGAAAATGATGTAGATGAAAGCCGATCAATCAAGTTACTCGATTGACGTCACGCGTGGAATGAAATGAGGGAAATGGAGATTGCAACGTGCATTTTAGGAGAAGTGTTTTCTAGAATAATCTCGCATTCTTTATATCTTAGCCAATATCGAGCAGGCTACGTTACCACGAAAAAAAGATTTAGTAAGGAACATTCATGAATAAATAACAGCAAAAAATCTCTCAATTGCGACCACTCAGATATGCTCACGCATATGAAAAAAATGAGGCGAATATTTCTTTAGGCGAACTTTGATAGTGCAGGAGCATTTTCTTTCGTGATTCATAGAAGCAGTCTTTCACGCGTTCCGATCTAGTTGGATAGGTCTTGTAGGATTTCACATTTTATAGCTCGGTTATGTGGGATAGGCAGCATAATCAAATAATTAGGCTGTATTAGCCAACACTAGAATAGCACTAATAAGTATTACATGGCATGTTACCACCAAAACTATACACTAAAAAAAGCAGCAGGGATGGAGTCGCATATCTAAACTCGTAGATTGTTTTGTACGACATCCTATATGTTCTACCGGGCCCGTAGCCAATGGGTGAGGGTGGAGGAGACCCTCTTTTCGGAAAAGCAGATGGAAGGGGGTGTTTTACCAATGACAACTAATAAAAATACGTGTTTTAAAAGCCTTCAATAGGTATCCGTCCCCCGTCCCCCCTCAATAAATTTCTGACTGCAGGCCTGTTATACTTTGCATTAGTATGGATGTTTTCTGCGTTATAATCTGGGATCGGAAGTACAGCGCACAAAGGAAATACCCGGCCATCTGTAGTATTAATTTTTTTCAGCAGCTAATAACACTGCTTTCATGTGCGCCACAAACTATGTAAACTTGCGTGGTTCAAATAACACGACAAAAATATTCGTTCCCATACAAAATGGACTAAACTTTATAGTTTTCGATGGTTCAGATTTAGCAGCCACAGCAATGTTGCCGCGTTGTAAATTTAGATAATGAAGTCGCACCGAAGTTGGCCGCAGATAACTGTTTGCATTTTCCTCGCAAGGCTGCTTCAAGCCCATTAGCCTTGTACGAAGCAGTAAAAACTGAATAAACACACAGATCGGGCTGGTTGGAAATGATCCATATTCGTAGGAACTACGAAACTACGATTGCGTCGTGTTTTTTTTTTCCGACCCGTGTGTTGTTTTGCGTTTCCTCTGGAGAAGGTAGTACAAGGTTAGCCATTTTTCTCTTTCTATTTCTTCCAATCACCTTATGTCCCTCTTTCGTTTCTTGCTTTATCTCTCTATTTCATTTTTCTCTTTCTTTCTATTATTTCCTATCTCTCTCTCTTTCTAGTGTTCCCCTTCGCCACGCAGAGTTTTAGTTAAACATTCCTGTGGGGCATACAAATCTGAAAAGTTTCGCTCGACGGAGCACAACATATATATATATATATATATATATATATATATATATATATATATATATATATATATATATATATATATATATATATATAATATTTCACCCCTTATTCGCAAACCCTAATGCAGGGTAGCACACCGGATCATAGCATCTGGTCAACCTCTCTGTCATTCTTCTTTCTCTTTTCTCTTTTTACACAGCTTCACTGTAAAGGTTCTTTCTTTCTTTTTTTTTCTTTCTTTTTTTCTTTTTTCCCTCTTCTCCCAGGTTTCTTTGTTTATTTCAATTGCTTTATTTTTCTCTGTACTCATTTCTTTCTCATTGTTGCTCTTTCTGTCCTTCTTTCTGTTTCTGCCTTCTCTTTCTCTCTCTTTCTGTTTATGACTTTAAGTTTGAGGTTTATTTACAGTTCTCACATAACATACGGCATGAATCGCCATGGTGCCGGAGCAAAACGCGTGTTTATACACGCCTAGCTGGCTACGCTCCTGGTACTTCGAGCACAGCAGACAACAGCGGACAAGTGCAAGATAAATAAGAAAAAATGCATACGCACACAGGCCTATATACATGTGGGCTTGTACGTGGGGTCTCAAAATATACCGGGCCACGCTGTCATAAGAATAAGTAAGACAGTAACCTTTAAACTTTTGACTCCCGCTCCACCCCCCTTTCTGT